AAACAAGTCTTTAACATGTAAAATCCCACTTACTATCCAATTTTTTAAAAAATAATGTATTTCCTCTATAAACAAAGTTACAATTGTTCCATATCGGCTGTTGAAGAATATTATCGGAAGACATTTTGTTCAAAGAACAAGGCTTACAATCATTGAAGCAACATAACATTTGTTGATAGAAAATAGGTACATTGTAGTTTCTCTAGTTTCTCTATATTTTCTTTCTTTCTATCGGAGAAACTTAACGCATAAGGAGCATCAAAATTTATTTTTTTACAATAGCCATCAAAAATGTTGTACAAAATACCTTTATTTCTTAACAACCTAGGTACTCAAGCCGCTTTTAAAGCTTTTAATTTACATTCAATATCAACAATTGAGAGGCCACCTTTTGAAATTCTACCTATTAGCGTGTTTCGTTTAATTCGTTCATTTTTATCCCAAATAAAGTTATAAATTAGACGTTGTATTTTTTTCATGTAAGCAATATCAGGAAGGCTAAGTATTGAAGAAACATATGTAAGTTTAGATCGCAAGTGTCTTTACTATACATGATTTACCAAATAACGTAAGTTTTCTTCTTTTCCAGGATTCAAAAAGTTTTTCAATATCGTGATAAATTTTCATCCAGTTTTTAGTGTAACATTCTTCCTTGTCGTGTCCAATGAAGATTCCTAAGCATCTTACTGCTTTATTCGTGATTTTTATGCCGTGGAGTTCATTATACATCTTTTTTAGTTCCCCTAACAAAATGCATTCTGTTTTATGTATGTTTACTTTTGATCCCGCATGTTCACAAAATTCTTGTAATTTATCTAGAGTGCGCTTCATCGACATTTCGTCTTTTAAAGCTACAGTTAAGTCGTCTGCATGTTGGATGTTTTTAATTTCGCAATTATTGATTGTTATGCCTTTGATGTCCTTATCACATTTTATCTTAATAGCCAAAATTTCTGCGACAAAGAGGTACAAGAGAGCGGAAATAGAACATCCTTGCCTAATGCCTCTTGTCATTTCGCAGGTTTTAGAAAGCCAGCCATTGTTTTTCATTTTAAACATTGGGCTTGTATATAAAATTTTTGTCCACTTTATAAAACTATTGCCAATATTAAATTTTTGTAACACTTGAAAAAGAAAATTCCATTCAACCGAGTCAAAAGCTTGTTCGTACTTGAAAATTTTGTTAATTTATTGCATAAGAAAAGGACTTTGTCATCTTTATGTACTGAGTTTGAAAAACAAATACGTAATTTTTTCATAGATTACCCAAAAATCTGAGAGGATATATCTGAGTGAAAATCACACAAAATTTATGTATCTCCAAAATATTAGAAAGGTATCGAAAAAAATTCATTTAAGCTTCCTTCGAGTGACATAATATTTCTATTGATTTATGTATCCTCAAGAAGTGCTATGCCATCACTGTCATGAAAATGGACCACTTCGAACGAAATTAATTGATTTTAAAGGATACTTTTTAAGGTTGAAAAACTTGATTTTCCTACGAATGAGCCTTAAATTATTAACTCAGACATAGCATTAAGGACAAATGATTCAAATTTTTTTTCAAATCCATAAAAAAATAAACACCTTAGCCATGTTTATATCAGTAAAATGAATAAGATTAACCGCATGATTTTAATTTTTCGTACACAATTTTACGATAATGTCCTATAAAGTCATAAAGAAAATGTATGTATTTATGAGGGCGATTGCTGAAAGGTACAATTTTGAACATCATAGAAATTTTACAATTTATCAATATTTTAAAAATTTGATATTTGCAGCATTTACAGCCAAAATAAGTCCAAAAATATATACCAATTCATGTATCATCCTTTTTTTGTAACATCTGTCCTTATAAAAATTATTTTTTTCACTTTTGCGAGGATCAAAATATTGTTTAAATTGCCATTACACTAATTGAAATAGAATTACTCATTTAATTTTGGAGTGGTAAAACAATTAACAAAATGTGATAAATTACCGGTATTTTCAAAATACTTTACAGCTATTTCTCATGTCCAGAGGAGTATGCACAACATACACACACACATTTCTCGATTAAATGACGTAAATGAAATCAATCACTAAGATAGGTATTCATCCTGAAATTATTTTTTACAATACACAATAAGTGTCGTATAATTTTATGATAATCTTCATTTAGAACAAGGTTTTACAATGAAAAAAAAAATACAAACAATAAATTTCTTAGATAGATACAGCTATCAGAAGACAATTCTTAATGTACAAACAAATCCACGACGTGTTAAACATAAAATTACACGCCACTACATACTTAACATACCAGGTAACACGGTACTTGACAACACGTACGTACCACTGTCTTTGTATTGACTAAATAATCCGCGTAATACTCTAATACTCTGTAAATATGTCAAATGTGTAATAATAATATAATAACATGTTTTTATATTCTATCTATGAGACTCCTAGGTGATAATTACCAAACCAAAAGACTAAGTGACATTATCGTACATTATATTAGACAATAATAGCACATAAATGTATATTGTTGTAATAGAATGGAAATATTTTGATTTTAATGATAATAAATTGATTAACTGGCGCGACTGCATAATTGTTTATATGAAAACATGTATTCAAGTAACATCAATTTGCAGGTGATTTGATTCTTTAGAGAGAGAGAGGGGGGGGGAGAGAGAAATTATTACTCAAATCAACACTAAAATTTATCCGGCGCATTGAAAATTACTTTCCTAAATCTCTAGAATTAATAAATTTTTTACGAGTAATTTTTCTTTCCACCTTAATGCCGCTTTCTGGTCGTACATTTTCATAAATATATTGAAATAAAATTTTTGTTTAAGATTTTGTTTCATCTCATCGTGATGCATGGTAGTCTTTTTCCGAAAAATTCAATGTTGTTAATATTGTCCTTTGGTAAACAGTAAGTTTTTACTTTCCCTCACTCGTTTCTATTACATCTCATATTATTGTTTGCTGTGTTGTAACATGTTTCTGAGCTAGTGGAGCATCACATTTGAAAGACCCCTAGATCAAATTAAAAATGATTAAGCCCCGCCTCCCATTAGGAAGGGGAAAACCTACTCTAAGAATAGACCGATAACTATAAAGCGACGACATGTTTACATGTTGATGTGACAAGTTGTTGGTTTATGCTGGTTGTTACATATTAAAAAGGTTAATATGTTCATGACGCACACTTTATTTACAAGAAAACATTTTGTGTTGAAATGCCATGAAAAACGGTTAGAGTGTGCATCTGAAGTACGAGAATTAATAAACAGTGGAGAAATAGGACCAGCGTCTCATATCAGGGTTCACAGACCACGTGCTTTACATTTTTGTGGTGGAAATTTGACTACAGTTACGATCATCACTTCTTAGTGACCGATGCAACTGAAAACAAATTGACAATTGTTCACTATGCCCCGAAAAGGATTTCTATGATAATTCTTTTGAAAGGGGTCGCTGAGATCATCCAGGAATCGGTAGAAGTTACAGACAGTGACGAAACATTAGATTTTAGTTCCGGTGCGTATCATATAACTTCTGACTATTACCCCAAGACACAAGAAGAGAAATCTGAAGCAGTAAAACGAGCCAAAAGACGCCTAGGTGAGAGACAATACTCAGTGTTTCACAATAATTGTGACAGTTTTGTGTCGTGGACACTGTTAGGGATATCGTACTCACACCAGGCAATGAATGCCAAAGGCCTCCTGTTTTATATTGGAATCTGTGCTCGGTGCTGCATCAGAATTTATGGGACTTTGGAATTAATCAAAAATGGTATTAAAAGACTTTCCTATGTTTTGGATGAATAGTCTGGATTTATTTCCTATTTTTGTGATTATAGTTATCTGTTAAACATTATGCTTATTTATTATCATTATGTATTTATTGGATGAACATAATAAATGTTGATTGTTATTTGCACTTTTGAGACTTTATCTTTATTAAAAGACTGTTTTCAATCTTTTAAGTATATAAAAATCGATCACTGATCGATTTACTGATCGATTCAATAAATCCTGTTGAGGGTATCAAATATAAAATAAATTATCAGTATGGATGATGAAAACTACCCGAGTAGAAAACACTAGCTGTGGCCTTCAACTCGACATTCAGATATACCGACGAAGTTTTATCAATTAACATCAGTTATTTCCGTTCATATATCGACTCGACATATCCCAGTGAACTCGAAATAAAAGACACCATACAGTCTGCCACATCTGTTTCATATTTGGATGTTTTACTAGCTATAGATGATAAGGGCCAACTAACAACTAAATTGTATGACAAACCAGATGACTTCAACTTTTCCATCGTCAACTTTAGTTATTTATGTAGTAATACTCCGCTATCAACCGCATATGGGGTTTTCTCCTCCAAACTTTTTCGCAGGGCATGATCTGAGTACGACCAATTTTCAAACCAAGGCAGACTACTGACAAAGTTGATGTTACAGGGATTTCAACAACCTCTTTAAAGTCAGCATTTCGTAAATTCTATGGTCGTTATAATGACCTAGCTAGCAAATTTATAAAATATATCCAGTCAATGGCTGAAGCTTTTCATACTTATTATAAAGCTTTTTTTAAATACTAGTACTAATTTGACTACGAAATATTCCGTCCACTTGATCAATATATAGGGCTTACGGCGGGAAGACCGGTCGACAGGGGTGCTTACTCCTCCTAGGCACCTGATCCTACCTCTGGAATTTACATTTACGTTAAACGTTTAACTGAAAACACAAGACTATCTCCCCCACTGTGCTGTACGTCTTTAAGTGCTACGGTATTTTGCCGCTAAAACAGAAACACTATTCTTGTTTGTAATTTTATTCTTAAATTATTTATTTGCATTAGCAGCTTATATTTTATATAGATATAAAACACTGAGAAGATAACAAAACTTATACTTACTTAAATAACCCCTTACCTTACAAGTTCAATGAATAGATTTTATTTTTCCTTGCATCTCTAGTTTTTTTCTCCCTCAGGCTCTAGCTTGTCAGATGCTTTCTGTTTCCGTACCCTCTTACAGGTGTTTTGGATTTTCCTCTCTTTTTGTCGTGAGGATAAGGCTAAAATGATCACATAATACTTAATTTCCAGTCGAGTCTATATTTTACAAAAATAAAAAAAAGAAAGAAAACGTAATCGCTAATTTTGCCCATTTTGTCTTCTTTGCGTTTTTCCTTAAAAGTTTTACTTGTTTTAAATAGGGTTGAATGGCATTCAAAGTCTGTAGTTTTTCAATACATGTATTTGATTTATGAATTATCAACACTTTTAATTTTAAATTCGTCTACAAACAGAAACAGTGTGAAGAGGATGGACTGCTTTTTCAGTTATTATTGTGTGATAGAATAAAGTAATTCCAAAATGTAAGCTGTTTTAGTTAAAGTTATCCAATGTAAGTACAGCTGTCCTGAGTCTTATTGTCTTATCATTCATATTGTGAATCAATGTATTTCTATCTATTACATGATGACAATTGTGGAGTCTTATCAAAATAAATAAATCAATTGACTTTCCAGATATTTAAACATTCCATTGCTTACTTAAGACTCTTGGTGTAAATTAAAGAATATAGTGACAAATGCTATAGTATAATGAAAACATTATGTGAACAGATTCACAAATCATTCAAATCGAGTGTTCAGACGTTTTAATCTTGTTTATATCCCTGACCCGATATAAAAAAAAACGAAAAGTATTATTAGTTACCCCTAAAAGATCACAAAAATACACGATTTTGATTACATATTTTGTGTGAAAAGGATCAATATCAAAATATCTAGAAGGGAAGGCATGCACACTTAAAATTCGTCTTACTAAGCATTATACCTGCTATGAATCAATACCTATGGGTCCTCCAAGTACGATTTATGACTTATCAGGTATAGACTTTAAGAAGTTTGGTCTGTTGTAATATTCTCCCTATTTCTACTCTAGATCATTTTGTCCCTTAAAAAATGTCCTCTCAACCCTGAAACAAAAGCAAATATTTTTTGTCACCATCGGGATTATGTATTTTATTTGCGAAATGTATAGAAGGATAAGAAAAAGAATTTTTTTTTTCTTTCATATACAAATAATTAATTTTAAATATAATTATTCATCACAAAAGGCCCGTTTATATGCGCCCATTCACACACAGTGTGCAAATTTTACATACATGTATACGAAAATTTTGCAGCAGAGCTTATGTGAATGGGGGGGGGGTGTTCACGCAGGATTTGCACATGAGTATTTTAACTCCTATTGTTAGTTTTACATGTAGCCAAACTAAGTGTAAATTAAATTTTACATATTAGTTTTACTACTGGTGTATTTTCAGCAAAGTAAACAGAATTTTATATACACACATGCTGATATTGAAGTTGTCTATAAAATATTATATAGTACATCGTTAAAAATTGCACCATACAAATATTAGAAGGAGCAGCGATCTTCTGCCTTGTTAATAGATTCCAATATCATTTTAATTGGCATGAAATGGCGAAGAGAAGGGGAACTGCAAGATCAGATGAAGAAACAAAGGATATTTGATATTGGTACAATCATGTATATATTACATAGAAAAAAAAAACAAAGCTGAAGGACAATAAGAAAATCCCCGGGCAAAAAATGTACAGATTGCATGGAACTTGCCAATTTTGTTTTGATTTGCACCAAGTTTAATAGTGCCATGAAAGCAATACAAAAGAAAAAGAAATAATTTACATCTAATGAAATTAGCTCAAAAGTCCATTGAAACAATACAAAGCAAAGCAAAGCAAACATTTAATATATGCATTTTGAATTCTTTTCATGTACAAGTTAATATCAATATTCATTCTTTGAATTCCTCAAAAGAAACTCCCTGCATGATGTGGAGATGAGGTATGTCAAATTGTAGAAATACATTAAAGGAATATGTCTTCAGCCACTTTCTTGTCAAATAATGACATGAAAATTATTTATCAGACTTTTTACAAGAAGATGTATTATATTTATCATCCTTCTCGCCCATCTTTGCTTGCGTATGGAGTTAATCCTTCAATGAAAATCTGGTCCTTTTGACGAAATATGAAAAATAAATTTATTGTAGTCTTTATGTCATAGTAAAGAACAAAGGATGACCAGTATATAATTTCTGAACCGTTTTAAAACTAAGGTACATTTAAAAAGATATATAATTTCTCTGCCAATTCATATTCGGTAAAACCTTCAGGCAAAATAATGTTTTACACTCTTAAAACTTCTTATGCTCTTTATTTATTTGTTTATTTTTTCTAAGATGACGTTAAGTACTGTTAACCCAAATGGTATGCTTCAATTGGAACAAAACTAATTAAACGTCGAAGAAAATTCTTTAATTATTACACATATATTATTGACTAATATGTTATATCAGACATGCATTTAATGAAATTGAAACATATTAATAATCATTGTATGATTATATATACTTGTGGACATCAGATTTTAGCTGATTTTTATGCCCCCGTATCGACGATTCGGGGGTATATAGTTTTTGCCCTGTCCGTCCGTCTGTCTGTCTGTTTGCCTGTTTGTCCGCAAAAACTTTAACATTGCTCATAACTTTTGATTGGTTGGAGCTATGGCTTTCACATGTGTATTTCCTGTGACAAGAGCTTTCTTTGGGTACCATCATATTTGACCTTGACCTTGGAGTTTAACCCAGTTTTACTAAATTTTACCCAATTTTAACCTTGGCCATAACTTTTGAACAATTGGTGCTAAGGCTTTCATACTTCACATGTGTAATTCAAGACAAGACCTTACTCTGGATACCAACAAGTTTGACTCTTTGACCTTGACCTACGAGTTTGACCTACTTTTGAAAAACTTTAACGTTGGCCATATCTTTTGAACGATTGGTGCTTGGGCTTTCTTTTTCACATATGTAATTTTTGTGACAAGACCTTCCTTTGGATACCAACAATTTTGACCCTTTGACCTTGACCTTGGAGTTTGACCTACTTTTGGAAAACTTTAACCTGGGTCATATCTTTTAAACGGTAGGTGGGAGGGCTTTCATATTTCACCTGTGTATTTCTTGTGAGAAGGCCTTTCCTTGGGCACCATTAATTTTGACCATTTGTCCTTGACCTTGATGTTTGACTTACTTTTGAAAAACTTTTACCTTTTCCATATCTTTTCAATGGTTGCTGCTAGGGATTTCATATATCACAGGTATATTTCTTACAAGACTTTACCTTGGGTAGCAGCATATTTGATTTGCATTTGAGAAAGTTTAACCTTTGCTATAAGTTGCCATATAAGGGGTATCAGTGTTTCATAAACATATCTTGTTTCCTATGGTATTCATCATAAATATAAATATCGAGGGGGGGGGGGGGGGTCTTGTCAACAAGTTTCTGTGATTGTAGAATGAACTAGATGCTGTCATAAGACAATAATACCGGCACTTACTTGTTTGCTTTTCAAGGTACTTTGGTAATTTTTGGCGAAGCAATATGAAATTATTCAATAATTTACATAGATATGCATGTCTCAAATCGAGCATAAAATGTTCAGGTGATTGTGGCTCATTGGCCTCTTAAATTAGGATTTCAGATGATAAAGCCATTACCAGTCTAAAATTAAAGAATTTAATAGAGCATGGATAACGGTTAAAAAAGAGTTTTGTTTAATCCCCCCCTCCCAAGTTGACCTCTTCGATGATAATGAAAATTCCGAAACATTATTGTTCACGTACAGGACACCACCAAACATTTTTCTAAAAATGAATTCTTTACTGTTAAAAATTTCAGAGGAATTTGAGGAGGGAGAAAGTGTGACAAACAGACAGACCTTGACATAACAAGTACATACCCAAACTTTCTATAGAAAGTACAGATATAATAATAATTTTATTAAATATTACTTTACATTTTTAAAGAATGTTTTCAAAGACATGATGCTTCATTTAATGACACTATTCTCGCAACATTGATCCTGCCATGGGGAAACATATGGATATACTTAAAAAGGAAGCTGACTTCACATAAAAATTGGTTTTTGCGAAGAGATTTGATGAATGATAAAACCCTTTTTCACTATTTTCTGATTAACTCCTTTTGAAACAAGATGTGTTTGTGAAAAACTGATGCCCCTGTATGGTAACTTATACCTAAGTTAAACTTTCTCAAATGCAAGTCAAATATGTTGTTACGCAAAGTAAGGTCTTGTCCAGATGGATTTTACCTGTGAACTATGAAAGCCCTAGCAGCAATCATTGGAAAAATATGGAAAAGTTTAAAGTTTTTCAAAAGTAAGGCAAACATCAAGGTCAAATGGTCAAAATGAATGGTGCCCAAGAAAAGGCCTTCTCATAAGAAATACACAGGTGAAATATGAAAGCCCTAGCACAAACATTCAAAAAATATGGCCAAGGTTAATGTTTTTCAAATGTAGGTCAAACTCCAAGGTCAAGTCAAAAGGTCAAAGTTGTTGGTATGCAAAGAAAGGTCTTGTCACAAGGATTACACTTGTGAAGAATGAAAGCCCTAGAACAAACCGTTCAAAAGTGATGGCCAAGGTTAAAGTTTTCCAAAAAGTAGGTCAAACTCCAAGGTCAAGGTCAATGGGCTACAATTGTTGATATCTAAATGAAGGTCTTGTCACAGGAAATACACAAGTGAAAAATAAAAGCCCTAGCACCAACCGTTCAAAGGTAATAGCCAAGGTTAATGTTTCCAAAAGTAGGTCAAACTCCAAGGTCAAAGGGTCAATGTTGTTGGTATCCAAAGGAAGGTCTTGACACAGGAAAAACATGCCTGAAGAATAAAAGCACTAGCACAAACTGTTCAAAAGTTATGGCCAAGCTTAAAGTTTTCCAAAAGTAGGTCAAACTCCAAGGTCAAAGGGTCAATCTTGTTGGTACCTGAAGGAAGGTCTTGTCACAAGGATTACATATGTGAAGAATGAAAGCCCAAGCACCAACTCTTTAAAAGTTATGGCCAAGGTTAAGTTTTTTTTAAAAGTAGGTCAAACTACTAGGTCAAGGTCAAAGAGTCAAAGTTGTTGGTATCCAAAGAAAGGTCTTGTCACAAGGATTACACATGTGAAG